GGTTAGTACGTATTGAGGTTTTTGATATTTCCTTGACCACTTGTGGCCACATCCATCACTTTCCTCTTAAAAGGGGAATGTTAATATGACATGACATCAGTGAATCCCTGGTTGCTGTGCTGTTTGCTCTAGCTGGCGCTCAACTGAACTGGTGCTCCCACAAGGTACTAAGTGGTCCCAGATTTTTTTAATAATGCACACACCAAGTGTTAAGACCCATTCTATACTGACCAGGCATCTCGGGCCAATCGTTCCAAATTTGGAGGCAGGAAAAATAAAACACTGATCTACGTTTGGAGTGCTAGCAGTACTAATGTAGATCTACGTTTGGACAGTTTAAGGGTTAAAATTATTTTAAAACCAGCCATCTCCCACTGAGGTAGGGTGACCCAAAACCAGAAACATTTGCCATCATTCATTCAATCACTGTCTTTCCAGAAGCATGTTGACATCACAGCTCAGATGATCCTCTGAACTGCAACATCCTCACCCATCCTTCAGAGCGTAAGCACTGAACTTTCCATCTTCAGAGCTCAAATCCGGGAAACCAGCTTCCCCAAATCCCTTCGTAAATGTTAACTTTTTCAGACTTCAACAGCACATAAATTAAAAATAAACACTTGTCTCCATTCACACATATCCAACATGCTCCCACAAGCCTGTTGGATGCTCAAGCCCCTAAAACTCAGAGCCCCTTTGATTCCATACTTCTTATTAGTCTTGGGGTTTTCCCTACCCCTCCTACTTTCTATCCCACATTTATACACCTACATTATTTGTCAACCTATTCCTTGCCATCTATCACCTTTTAATTTCTAAGACATGAACTCTCTGCATAATATTCACACCATAGCATTCAAAACCTATGCCTCTCACTCATATAAAAGTGATGGTACCACTATACTATTTTTTTTCACACACTGGCTGTCTCCCACCGAGGCAGGGAGACCTGAAAAAGAGGAAACATTGTCACCTACACTGTCTTGCCAGAGATGCCCTGGTACTACAGTCCAAAACTTTAAATATCCCCATCCCTCCTTCAGAGTGTATCCACTGTACTTCCCACCTCCAGGACTCAAGTCCAGCTAACCAGTTTTCCCGAGTCCTTTCACAAATATTTCCTTGATCACACTCCAACAATACATCGTCATAAAAAACCACTTGCCTCCACTCACTCCTATCTAACACACAAATCTTCCCTTACACCCTCCCTTCCACCTTTCCAAACTTTTTTTTTTAACACATCGGCCATTTCCCACCAAGGCAGGGTGACCCAAAAAGAAAGAAAAACCAAAAAGAAAGAAAAAACTTTCATCATCATTCAACACTTTCACCCTCGCTCATATTTAATCACTGTCTTAGAAAAAGCGCTCAGATATGACAATTTAAATGTCTCTCCAAACCGCCACTATCCCAAACCCCTTCTTTAAAGTGCAGGCATTGTACTTCCCATTTCCAGGACTCAAGCCTAGCTAACTGGTTTTCCTGAATTCCATCACACTCCTGCTCACACACCAACAGCTCGTCAGGTCCCAAAAACCATGTCTCTATTCACTCCTACCTAACATGCTCACGCATGTTTCCTGGAAGTCCAAGCCCCTCGCCCACAAAACCCACTTTACGCCCTCCCTCCAACCTTTTCGAGAATCACCCTTACCCCGCCTTCCTTCCCTATAATTTATAGGCTCTCCAAGTCATTCTACCTTGTTCCATTCTCTCTAAATGAGCAAACCACCTCAACAACCTCTTATTAATACTTTTAGTAACTCCACACCTCCTCCTAATTTCCGCACTACGAATTCTTAGACACAGCATCTCCACTACCTCCGGCCTCCTACTTGTGCAGCATTTACAACCCATGTTTCACACCTATATAAGAGTGTTGGTACCACTATACTCTCTTACATTCCCTTCTTTGCCTCAATTGATGACGTTTTATGTCTCCACAGATACTTCAACGCACCACTCGCCTTTTTTTATTTTATTTATTATTTATTTATTTAAAAATTTGAGCACACATACAGAGGTACAACAAATACAGGTAAGAGCAGTATGCCAAAGCCACTTATACTATGCATAGCATTACGGGCTGGCTTAAAATTAACTTAAGATTAACTAAGCAATGATGAAATCAGTGATAAAACATTAATGTAAACAGGTTACTATAAAGCACAAGTGAGTATTACAAAGACAGGTCATATGGTTGTATGCATTGTTGTACATTCAGTAGAATGGAGTATTCTGTTAGGTAGTGTATTTAAAAAATAATGAAGTTAGATTGGGTTTTAGGTTTAACATTTATGTGATATAATTGTGAGAAACATTTAAGATATACAATTTATAAGGTTCAGTTATTCAATATTTATTTGGTTTTGGGTGAGTAAGTGATCTTTGAGAAGAGACTTAAATTTATAAACAGGTAGTGTTTCTTTTATATTTACAGGTAATGAATTCCAGATTTTAGGGCCTTTTATGTGCATTGAGTTTTTACATAGTGTGAGATGGACACGAGGAACATCAAAGAGTGATCTGTGCCTTGTGTTATGGTCATGTGTTCTGTTGAGGTTGGCAAGGAGATGTTTGAGGGGAGGGTTAATATCAGAGTTAAGTGTTCTATGTATGTAATAGGTGCAGTAGTAAGTATGGATGTTTTGTATGGTGAGGAGGTTTAGTGTATTGAATATTGGTGGAGTGTGCTGCCTATAGTGAGAATTTGTTATCATTCTAACTGCAGCCTTTTGTTGGGAATTAGTGGTCTGAGATGGTTACTTGTTGTTGAGCCCCCTGCACAAATTCCATAGGTGAGATAGGGGTAAATAAGAGAGTGATATAGGGCCAGGAGGGCTGACTGTGGAGCATAGTACCGTATCTTCGATAGTATGCCTACAGTCTTGGAAATTTTCTTAGAAATTTGTTGTATATGTGTATGAAATTTGAGTCTATTATCAAGGTGGATTCCTAAGAATTTTCCCTCTGTTAGCTTTGTGATAGGTGATCCGTTTATCATTATGTTAAGAGGGACATCTGTAGCTCTGTTACCAAACTGAATGAAGTAGGTTTTGTCAATGTTTAGTGTAAGTTTGTTAGTTCTCATCCCGGTAGATTATTTTCTGTAATTTGGTATTTACAGTATTGGCTAGCGTGACTGGGCTCGGGTGGGAGAAGACGTGTGTAGTGTCATCTGCAAATAGTGTGGGTTTGAGTAATTGCGAAGCATTTGGTGGGTCATTTATGTATAGGAGAAAGAGAAGAGGGCCAAGGACACTTCCCTGTGGGACACCAACTGTAATTGGTTGTGCAGAGGAGTTTGCCCCATTTGCATACACATATTGGCTTCTGTTGCTGAGGTATGACTTGAGGTAGTTGAGGGAGTGCCCTCTTATACCATAGTGTGACAATTTTACGTGGAGCAAGTCATGGTCAACTGTATCAAAAGCTTTACGTAAGTCAATGAAGATCCCCAGTGGGACTTCTTTTTTCTCTATTGCAGTGTATATATGTTCTAGCATGTGTATAATAGCATCATTAGTATTTTTATTAGGCCTGAATCCAAATTGGCAGGGGTTTATGTTTTGGGAGATAAGGTAGGAGTAGATTCGTTTATGAATTAATTTTTCGAAGATTTTTGAGAGAGGGTGTAAGTTGGATATTGGCCTATAGTTATTCAACTCTGTTTGGTCTCCTCCTTTGTGGATCGGGGTGACCCTTGCTATTTTGAGTACTGTAGGGAAGGTGGAGGATTCAATGGATTTGTTAAAGAGTGTTGCAATGATTGGTGATAGCACTTGTGACACTTTTTTGTATATAAAGGGTGGTAAGGTATTTAAATCTCCTGCCTTGTTTTTTAGTGTGTTGATAATAAGGGAGACTTCGTATGGGTTAGTCGGAGCTAGGAACAGTGTGTTCGGGTAGTTGCCAGTGAGGTAGTCATTTGGTGGGGTATCTGAGCTTGGATTTTATTGGCAAGGTTTTGTCCTATAGTGGAGAAGAAAATCATTGAGTCTGTTTTGCTGTTTCTGTTGGTGGGAGTTGGGGTTCATCTGATTTTGCTAATTTTATTTCGCTATTTCGTGATATCTTTTTTGTTCCTAGAATTTCTGATAGGGTTTTCCAGGTCTTTTTTATATCACCTCGTAAGTTGGATAATCTGTTCTCATAATACAATTTTTTTGCCCTTCTTATCAGGCTGGTTAGGATTGACAAGTAACGTTTTGTTTGGTCTCTGGTTATGTGACCCATTCTGTACTGTTTTTCATATTGGTGTTTTGTATTTATGGATTTGAGAATGCTGGGTGTTAGCCAGGGACTGTTCAGTCTCTTAGCTGTCATCTGTTTAGTTTTTTAGGGCAGTGCTTGTTATAGAGGTATTGGGTCTTTTTTAGAAAATTATTAATACATTCGTCAATATCTGTATAGATTTCTAGCTCAGTGTGCCAGTCAATGTTTGCTACTGCTGTTGTGAAGTTATTAATGGCTGCCTCATTGTGAAGTCTGAAGGTGACTTTAGTAGTGTCTTGGGGTATCCCACCAAGGCAGGATAGCCCAAAAAGAAAAACGAAAGTTTCTCTTTTTAAATTTAGTAATTTATACAGGAGAAGTGAATACTAGTGCTCCCAGCATTTTAGTCACTGCTTACGACACAGATGGCTTACAGAGGAAGGATTCCTCTCTGCTTCCCCATGGAGTATTTTTTTTTTTCCAACATGCCGGCCATCTCCCACTGACGCAAGATGACCCAAAAAAGAAAAAAAACACTTTCATCACCATTCAACACTTTCACCATCATTCACACATAATCACTTCATTATTATTATTATTATTAGTATTATTATTATTATTTAAACTGTGTTGTGGGATTGAAATTCGGGATATCAAAGTATAAACTATATTGTGCTAAAATTATGAAAATAAATATTATACAAGTCAACTGCTGTATATTGTCTAAAAAATTCCGGATATCAAAACCAAGGTAAGTGTAAATGAAATAATAATATACTTACAAGGTTCAATACAGTTTCTTCTGTGGTTGTTTTTGCTAGAACTAAATTCATGTTGTTCATGCATGTTTTAATATTATCTTCTAGCAGATGTGCATCATGATTACCATCCTCTATGTTAACAAGCGACAAGGTCGACCTAATTAGGAAGCTAAGTCCTGAAAAGAGCCATAATATTAACAAAAGATTAGCAAATACAACAACACTGTTTTAGTATTTACATAAAGGAGTTATGATCTGTCTGCTTCATAAGGGCCAGATGAAGTGAATGCTAGTCCTGAACAGGGATGCTAGAAAAGCAGTAGGGACTGCCACAAATCTTAAGAAAAATCACATGGGCCCAGTGGCTCAACACGACTAAGAATTGGCTGAAGAAGTATCCATGAAAGTGAGGAAGGTATCAGTGCTCACAGGCAGCAATGTCCACCATTATTGATGACTTAGTACAACTCTTATTACAGTTCGAAAGTACCTGAAACACAAGACGTATTTTCCACTGTTAACATAATAATAATAATAAATAGAATCCAAGTGTGATTTACCAGATATGAACATTTACATATACAACACATCAAAATATATAGATGTTACTGTAGCTATTAGAAAATGCTATTGTAAATACGGTGGAACCTCGGTTTTCATTATTAATCCATTCTAAAAAAGTCTGACGACAACCGAATCGTACAAAAACTGAAGCAATATTTCCCATAAGAAATAATGTAAATCAATTAATCTGTTTCAGGCACCCAAAAATATTAACAAAAAATACATTTTATAGAGGATAATTAGTTTTACATACAGAAAACCATGAGAAATAAATATAAATGACTAATGAAATAGATAAATGAGCATTTAACATCACTTTTACCTTTATTGAAGACTCTTGTTGGCGTATGGAAGATGGCGAGGAGGCGAGAGAGAGGAGGAGAGGTTACTGTTTGGAAGGGGAATCCCTGTCCATAAGGATTTCAGGTATCAAGGCCCTAACCAGGGTTACTTCCCTTCTTTGTCTTTTACTGGCACTAGGACCAGCTTGAGATTCACTGTACCCCAGTTGCACAAAAAATCTGTCCAGAGGTGTCTATTTCTGGTGTCTCTAAGATTTGCCTAAAATGGGAAAAGGCACTGTCATTGAACATGTTGCAGAAACGGCTTACAACAGCTTTGTTAAGGTGATATTTCTCCACAAAACTTTGCAACTCACTCCACTTTGCACACATGTCCTTAATCACTGAAGAAGGTCCAGTCTCCCTTCTTCCTTCCTCCTCCTCTGAAGCAATTTCCTCAGCTGCGGTCTGTTGCTGTTCCAGCTGAAAGTCTTGCAGCTCTTCAGTGGTTAGCTCTTCCCTCATCCAATGAGAAACAAAGGCAGACTGAGTCATAAACGCATGGGATGCTTTGTGTGGGCGCTTGAGTAGCCGAGTCACATAGATACATTTGGTACGGACCATTTTCAACTCTGCGAAAACTGAGCAGATGTATGAAAACTGGGACAAAATTTCAATGAAAAAAGTTGTCGAAAACTGAATCCTACAAAAACTGGGACCTACGAAAACCAAGGTTCCACTGTAACAGTAATGATTTATTTCTAACACCAACCTATACCAGTTTAAAACTGATAACTTCTGAGTTAACTAAAGAGATGGGCACATGTGCAAATGCATCCATGCACACACACATACAGATCACACACACACACACACAGGTTACACACACAGTTTTATGACAAGTTTGTGACAAGTTTTATGACAAGGGACATGAGAGAGAGGGGTGGGTAGGTTGCATTTTCTTGGACTGCAAGAAGGCCTTCAACACAGTTCCTCACAAGCGATTAGTGCAAGAGCTAGAGGATCAGGCATGCATAACAGGAAGGGCACTGCAATGGATCAGAGAATACCCGACAGGGAGGCAACAAGAAGTCATGGTACGTGACAAGGTTTCAGAGTGGGTGGGTGTGACGAGCGGGGTTCCACAGGGGTCAGTCCTAGGACCAGTGCTATTTCTGATATTTAGCACACCCTTGTATTACATGGATTTATTTGGCACATTTTGATTATTGTACTATTGAAAAATTGTGGCACAATTTTATACAACACTGTAAAATTAAGATAACACGGTTCCATTTGCAGGCGGGGAAAAATTTCCCCAGCTCAGGCTGCCACCAAGCTGTGGGCCAGATTGCTGTGTCAGTGGAGGAAGACCTACTGCCATCCCTGACGCTCCCGCCACCCTCATCCCAGCCTTCATGAATAAGTGTCCAGTACCATTCTCTCATAGGAGCTAGCTGTGTTTGTGAATCTTTTAATTACCAAGCAATCTTGGCACCCAGTAGGCATGCAAGTGTTGCTGAGAGTGGTAAGAGATATATTAGACAAGAGAGAACCTATGGCCTTAATGAAGCATCAGTTTATACAGTTAAAAAGAATGAGGTAAATACAGTAGGGCCCCACTTATACGGCAGGTTAGGTTCCAGGCTACTGATGGAAAGCAGACACCGCTGGAAAGCAAAATGCCATTTTTTCCAATTATAAACGTCAGATAATAATTTTACACTAACATATATTAAGTTAGCAATAGAACAAGGCATTAAAAAGCAATAAAAAGTAAAATAAACACACAGTACAGTGGAGCCCCGCATAGCGACCTTAATCCGTGCAAGAGGGCTGGTTGTTATGCGAAATGTTCGGTATGCGAATGAATTTTCCCCATAAGAAATAATGGAAATCAAATTAATCCGTGCAAGACACCCAAAAGTATGAAAAAAATTTTACCACATGAAATATACATTTTCCTACACACAGAGAGAAGGATACATGCACAATAGTAGAGTAGTGCATGCACAATATATATTGTGCATGTACTACTCTACTAAATGAAAATGAAGAATAAATGACACTTACCTTTATTGAAGATGCAGCAATGACTGATGAGACACTGTGTCCTGGGAGTGCCTTTTCCTCCTGAGTACTGTAGGTCCTGTTTGGCATTTTCTTCCAGAACAGGCCTCATCACACTGTGTATGCCACTACGTTTCTTAAATCTCTCAAACCAACCTTTGCTGGCTTTAAATTCACCAATATAAGCACTAGTTCCAGGCATTTTTCCCTGTTCACCTGGGTGTTAGTCGACTGCTGTGGGTTGCATCCTGGGAGACAAGATTAAGGACCCCAATGGAAATAAGTTAGACAGTCTTCGATGACACTGACTTTTTTTGGGTTATCCTGGGTGGCAAATCCTCTGGGGTTAATTGTTTCTTGGTATTCTCAATAAGCCACACCAACAATGGTGCTACAGCAGCAGCAGCAGCAGCAGCTGACGGTGGTACAGCAGCAACAGACGATGCTACAGCAGCAACAGACGATGCTACAGCAGCAGCAGACGATGCTACAGCAGCAGCAGAGGATGCTACAGCAGCAGCAGACGATGCTACAGCAGCAGCAGACGATGCTACAGCAGCAGCAGACGATGCTACAGCAGCAGCAGACGATGCTACAGCAGCAGCAGACGATGCTACAGCAGCAGCAGACGATGCTACAGCAGCAACAGACGATGCTACAGCAGCAGCAGACGATGCTACAGCAGCAGCAGACGATGCTACAGCAGCAGCAGACGATGCTACAGCAGCAGCAGACGATGCTACAGCAGCAACAGACGATGCTACAGCAGGCAGCAGACGATGCTACAGCAGCAGCAGACGATGCTACAGCAGCAGCAGGACGATGCTACAGCAGCAGCAGACGATGCTACAGCAGCAGCAGACGGTACTACAGCAGCAGCAGCAGCTGACGGTGGTACAACAGCAGCAGCAGCTGACAGTGCAGCAGCAGCTGATGGTGGTACAGCAGCAGCTGTACCACCAATAGTAGCGATGGTTGATTGGGGTTTATTATACACCCGGCCAGCTCGGAGACACGCACTCCACTTTCATACTTATCAATGATCTGTTTCTTCATCTCTATAGTAATTCTCACCCTTATTGCTGTAGGGTTGGCACTAGAAGCTTTCTTGGGGCCCATGGTCACTTATTTTCCAGAAAAAATCACCAAAAACACTGTAATAATACGAAATGTTCCGATTGTATGCTTGGATGTTACCGCGGAGGCTGGCTGGTAAACAATGCCACCGGCGGAACATGTGAGCGTGGCTCAGGCTGCACATTGGACGCGTCTCGGACGAAGGGTGGTGAGCGGGTTTTTGGGCGGTATGCGAGGCAAAATTTTTGCGATCAAAGCGTCCGGTATGCGGATTGTATGGTATGCGATGCGTACGGTATGCGGGGGTCCACTGTACACTCATTACTTACCTCAAAATATTTGTAGTCTTAATGTAGGGTGAGAAGTGAGTAGTGTTTATTGTAAGAAGCTAGGTGTGGTAGGTATGGCAGCCAGCCAGGCCAAACTACCCAACCCACCCAAATGTAATATATTTCGACATTCAAAGATCCCTAGAGCGATAAAATGCATTTAGTGTACACTCATTACTTGCCTTAAAATATTTTTAGTCTTAATGGTCTTAATATAGGGTACAATGTGAATAGTAGGGTAGGTAGGTATCTAAGAGTGGTAGGTGTCATAACCCCATCTGGCCACCACACCCACATGTTATATACTAGGCATATACAGTACACTCATTACTTACCTTAAAATATTTGTAGTCTTAATGTAGGATGTGAGGTGAGTAAATGAGATTAAACAAATAAACGAGAGAGAGAGAATGAGTACACGAGAGAGTAATAGGTTCGCAAGTTTTGTAAACAAACCAGCCAGACGCGTATGGTTTTAGTTATAATAATAATGTAGGTATGTAGTCCGCCTGGGCTACATACCTACACCTACCTACATAGCATGTTTATATGCTATGTAACATGTTTCTTATATAATTTTGAAGAAAATATCATAGATGGATTAATGAAAATGTCTATATTAACCCTTTGACTGTCACAAGCCCCTTTCTGAAACTGTCATTCTATGTCGCAAAATTTTGGAAAAAAAAAAAAAAAAAAAAAAAAAAAAAAAAAAAAAAAAAAAAAAAAAAAAAAAAAAAAAAAAAAAAAAAAAATTCTTATGAAATGATAGAGAATCTTTTTCCGATGGTAATGACACCAAAAGTATGAAATTTAGTCGAAAATTCATGGAATTACACTACCATGAAGTTAGCG